TATTTATTTATTTATTTTATTTAGTATTTTTGTTTGTACTTCCTGAAGAAGGTGCTCCTTGTGTAGAGATTTAGAGTACATTGGGTGCAGAGTGGTGGTTGGAGGGTAGGGGCAACTTTGCTGTCCGCTCCGTGGATTTTACAGGCGATTTGCTCTTTGCTTTAAGAAGAGAAAGTGATATTGGAAAAAGTCAGCACTTTTAGATTAAAGCAAAGCACCCTTCACAAAGCCACAAACAAGAAGCAGGACAGAAAGTCCATGGCTTGTAGCTATCCTCGCACCTGCGGAAGAAGTTATAAGATATTCGCTCATCTTGCAGATTTCCAATGCTCCTTATAAGGCTGTTTTAAAGACATACATTTATATATTTAATTAGCTCGCCAGGTTGGCTCTGGTGCCCATGAATGTCTTGGCATGCACTGCAAATAACAACACATACAAAGTATTTCAGTCCCAGGGAGATTTTTTTTTGTTTTGCTTTGCTTTTGTTTCTTGTCTGTCTTTTTAAACAATGTTTTCCAGTGAAACCGTATACCAAGAGGAACAAACCCAAACACCTTCCACCTCAGAGTGTTCTTTACAATATCATTTCCAGCATCACATCATTGCCAACAAAAGTGTCATCTAGTGGCTAAAGACTGTTGTAAAGCAGAGGAGATGAGATAATAGGCAAATGGCTGAGCTATTTACAAGGGGGAAACAGAATGCTAAAAGTTTTGGAGTATTTATTTTTGAGAAATTATATTTTCCCAGATTTTTTTTTCTTTTTGAAGAACTGTGAAAACAATGGTACATATCATTATTTCTAAAAACATGACTTTATATTTTAAGTACGTTATCAGAATAAAAACATCCAGCACTAGACTAATTAAACTGAAATGTTCGCATACCAAAGACATGAGTATTTAGATGTCATACATACCAAGTCTTAGTGCTTGATAACTCCCTGTATCATAAAGAATTACACTCAGAATTTGAAACATATTACTTGAGGTGAAAACCATCAATTTAATTTGGTTACATTATAAATAAAAGTTCCAATTATGAAAGGTTAATGCATGATTAATAGATTTTATATCTCTGTTGTAGACTTGAAAAGGATGACTGTTATTGATGGTTACAGGCATCAATTCTATAACAAAGTAATAATGGTTTTATAAGCATTCCATAATAATGCTGGACTTTTAATAACTGGTTATTTTTTTAAATATCTATTAATCATGTATAAGCTATTTTTAAAAAGAATTTAATATTAAGCTGAATGCTGGATTCCATTGCAGCCCTTGAAAGCACATTTATCTTCTCATCAAGAATATACACAATGAAAGCAAAAATAACTCAAGGCAAACGCTCATTTTTAAAAGTTTTCAGATGTTTATCAGGAAAACATTTCTCTGCATCTGCTATGTTTATAAGTGTAGCAAGTATTTCTATTCCTGTCTTTAGTATTTTTTTCCCTTCAAAAATGGGGATTAAACTAAATCCCACATCTCTGAACATTGGTTCCTTTTGTAAATAGGTGGTGTGAGACGTTGCATACATAGTAGTTGCCGTAAAAGACACTTCATCCTCTGTCACATACACCAGAACTCCTAAGTAACAGTGATATTTCAATTATCCATGTGTGAACTGAATTTCTAAATTAATATGAACTTTTAAAAGGAAACATAAAGATATTACTAAGATTTTCAAAGAAGTCCAGGGGAACTCTGACCTGAGTTCCTATTGAACTTTGACAGGGGTGGGAAGCCTACTTTTCCCTTGCCCATCTGATAATGCGGGCCTGCCTGTACTATACTGCAGTAGTTTGCTGGGCTTCTCAGAACACTTGTTCTGTATTAGGAACAAGCAAACGCACAAGCAAAATTGCTGTAACTTCTTCCTGTAGGTTGTTCTCATACAGGTAGTATTTACAAGCTTGCGCCCAAGGGTTGAGTTGAATTTCTGATTTTGGTTTTATTGCAGCATGGCTTTGTTATCTCTTTATATAAAGTGTAAAATTTATCATCTGACAGAGTTTTACAAAGGCTTTTCTTTCCCTAATTAGGTTAGCAGAACTTAGAACCTTTGTTAGTGTTAGATCATTTCATGGTGTATTGAATTATTTTCACTCGTTTTATTCCATTTAAATATTTTTTTGATTGAACTAGAGAAATACACTGCTCAAGACAATTCTAAAGAGGTCTTTAGAGATACATTTCCTCTGCAATATAACACAAATAAGGATAAATACTCAGAAGAGTCTCATGGATGTTTTTAAAAGGGCTTTTTAAACAATTAATGGCATTATAATTTGAGAATTTGAAAGCTGTAATGTGTGGAAGAGAAACAGTATGATACGAAGTGAGTTTCACTTAAGCTATTTCACAGTGGGAAAAGCAGCACAATAATATTTTCAGGCAAAGCATTCTTTGCGTTTTGTTTTCTTTTGCCTTTTTACAATATGACATCTGTAGGTCCCCAAATTAGGGGTCATATATTGCATACGCATGATAACTTTTTTATTTATAATGTTCAGTCTCTGTATAGATCATGACCTCCCTCCAGTTCATATAACATGTTCTACATGAATGTTCTTCTGTAAACACCAAGTTTATTTTTCTTTATCTTGCCAGGGATTTAGGTTAGAGTACATGCAGCAAGTACAAGCTAAAGCAATACTGAACACATGAGAAAAAATTAAGGGAAATAGAACTAAAGCAATTTCAGCTTCTAGGTGAAGAAAGAGGATGTTAGAATTGTTGGAAATCACTGTCATAAACAGTGTCCTCTGCACGGTTTGGGAAACTGATTAGTATATCCTAATGTCATATCAGGGCTCTATTTACTGGCTTAAGAGTTTCCAAAATGCTGTCTAACCCAAACTGTTACATTTTCAGTAATATATCACCCCCAATAAAATTGACTTGCAATATACAGTGACATATATGACTATTAGGTGCACTGTCATCTTTTCAGTGATTCTTTATGAAATACAGTCGGAATTTAAATATACTCAGTTGTTTGGTTTGGGGGTTTGGGGGTTTTTTGTGTTTGTTATTTTTGGTTTTCTTTTTTTCTTTTTTTTCTTTTTTTTTTTTTTTTTCCCCCCTGGAGATGTGTAAAAGAACTATAATTGTTCTCTTATGAACCCAAGTATTTCTTTAAATTTTAGAAGGGTGAAAGCTGCAAATGTAGAATGATAACATAGCCAAACCAAAAGCAGCCTTTTTAGATTTTTTTTTCCTTTTTCTGTTTTGACATATTTACTCATATTCTATTATTTTGGTTTCCATCTTGACAAGGCATAAGCAACCAGAAATAGTCAGAAATTTCCATTTTGACTGTGAATCTAAAAGTCATAGGGTGTTTAAATCAGAGATTTAGTTTCACTATTTTTAGACTTAAGTCAGAGATGAAGCACAGATCAGAATCCAAATCCAAATGTCTTGAAAATACAGATTATCCAGATTCAGAGTTTTCATGCAGATGTGGTTTTGGTGTATAATTCTGACCAGGACTTAAATAGTAGAACTGGAACTGTGAGCACGGTAATATAAGTAAAAACCTGTCATTCAGGCTGTGGATTTGCTAAATCGATTACTCATTTCCCCACCATTTCTAACATTATTTTCTAATTAGCATAATGAGAGCTAAAAGAAATTTTATTGCAGGTCAAGAGCACTGGGCAAAGCTGGACTACAATTATGTTACCCTCAGAGACAGTAACCGGGATGAAGAATGGTAGTATGTATGCATATATTATTTCCACATTATTAGTTAAACTCTATTTGATGTGTGGGTCAGGGATTCTCACGTTTTGATCTATCAGTCACTGGGATCCAGTTAAATTCTTCATGTGAGATGTAAATGCCCATGTGTTGTCTTTTGTTTCCTGCCACTGACATATGTCCAAATGAGCAAATGTCCATGAAATACTCAGCCTTCTCCTGTAAACAAATGCTGTATTGCCAAAGGCACGTGAGCATGAGATAAGTTTCTGTGCAACAGCATGAAAGAGTAGTTCATGCTATTAAACTCTTTGAAACTGTGATTTATTCAAATATGTGGTTTACTTAAATGCTAGGAAAGCAGAAAGAAAACAATAGTGATAAAGATTTGTGATCTTAGTGTTTAAAATAATAAGATAATCTCTGTCACAAATGCTGAACCATATTTCATGGCTCATAGGATGTGGACAAAAGAGCTAAACACCAATTTTGTTCTGTCAATGAGATAAATTTTAGAGCATCTAAGTATAAAATAAAGCCAGCAGAAGTTATAAATTGTTAGTATACCCTAACTGATCAAAAAAACGGTTACTCATTGCATGCCTGAATGACTATAATCCCTTGCTTTCAGTAAGATATTGATCAGACAAAATTTGTGTAAAAATACGTGGGACTTTAGGTCGCAAGCAATGAAAATCAAATGCTGGTTTCACAATTTTGCTCTTTTTTTTTTTCACAACTGAACAAAACACTGATTTGTAACCTAAGCAGTTGCCTTAGACCCTACAGTTTTAGCATCCCTATTTGTAAGAGTACCTTACATTGTTAACCATCTTGGGTCTCAAGCAGTTTGCATCTGCAAGAGTTGAAGTTTAGCAAGTTTGGCATTCCTTGTGCTTGCTAAGGTTTGGGAGGTCTCTGGGATGTAATAGGCTCCTGCACTCTGAGCCTCAATACCTGTCAGAGCCTCGGAAAACTGGATTCTTACAGTTATGCTTACAAGGAATAGTGTATCATCATATAAATAGCAGAACGAATCTGTGAATTCAACAGCACAGCTTTAATATTTTACTAAACATATAAGTTTAGAGAGGGTATCCTTGAGTTTCTTTCATTTACTAGGACACTGATCACAAGGGAAGACTAATGCCTGAGTAGAGTCCTGATTTTGTGCTGACCAGTACAGGAGAAATATAGTCATTCACACAAAAGTCCATCCTAAATTCTCTGTATGTATTACCTGATGCCAAAATATATATGCATTTATATGGGGGATAAGTATTCAGCTTGTGCTGAAATGAGTTAATTTTGTTGTACTACTGGTTTCTGAAATCACAGAGGTGTTGAAACCTTGGAAGTTTCATTTTTCAGGAATTTGTGCTGATATTTTCCATCTTTAAGTGCCTGGTTTGCTGTTTTGCAACACTAGGCTTTGCTTTTATAGTGTTAGATTTGAAATAGCCTTCTTGTCAGCCGCAGTTGAAAACACATGAAATCATAATTTTGCATTATTTCCATGTAAAGTAAGTAAAGGTTCTTGAAATAGCTGCCTTAATTTTACTGGGAATATT